TTTTGGAGTTATCTCCCCGTTCTGAGCAAAGAGTCAAACTCCCAACAAATTTATATTCAGGTAATGCTGTAATCGATTATAAAGAATTCCGTAAGGGTGTGCGAATGCCTAGTGCGTTAGTGAGATGTAAGGATGGTTATACGACTACAGTAATCCAGAATACCTTAGATATACCGATAAAATTAACTATTAAAAAACCATTGAATGTAGAAGCATATGAAGAGGGTAAAGCGACTAAATGTTTAGTTAACCATATTACAGATATATCAGATATTGAAATAGATAAAATATTAGAGCAAAATTTAGAGATCATTATCAGAAGTATGACCGATCTTTCTGCAAAAACTAGAAGAAGAATTTCTGTTATCAAGAGAATATTTAAAGCGTTTTTGGGGCGGTAGATTTGAATTATTATGCGATGCAATTGGACGCTTTACACGAATGGATGACGCAACGGATATCAATTCTGGCACCAAGGTGGCCCTCACATTCATTAACTCAATTCTAAGGCGTTCGTCACCCACAGTTCCGATAACGGCCTCTATAGCATCACTGTTTTCGAGTTTGTCTTTCACGCGCCTACATAGAAGCCATGCCCGAGATAAGAATTCTGCGATATCTTTAGAAGAGTCATAAACGTGTTCTCTAAATCTCAATACGTCACGCGAGTAACGGCTCTCAGGTTCGAAGGTGGTGATAATGTTCTGAAGCAACTCTTCCCACGTATAAGTCGTTACTAGTCAGTTATAGGCCCACATTTTAGAACGTCCCTTTAAAAGGCTAGTAACTTTCATTCGAATGTCATAATCACTGAGTTGATAGGTGTCTTTAGCCGCAGAAATGTGGTTGCAGCACTCACGTACACCGACATTACCATGTGGGTCATAAGATGGCAGAAACAGATCAGTTATTTTAACTTTGTCACTAGATTGTTCCAAAAGCCGCTCACTCATATTCTGCATCATGTTCATCATATGCATAAAGAACTCAGGCGGAACTTTACCCGACTGTAGGCTTGGTATCATAGGGTTGCTGGGCAAATTCGTAGGTAGAGCCGGTATTGAAGCTGACGTGCCCGAGGCGAACGTGCTCTGTGGAACCTCCACATGATTTCCAGTATAGTCAGGACATAAAGAATTTTGAACTGTAGAAAAGGATCGCTGGGGCGATCCCACTTCTGATGTCGGATTTTGACGTTCATTACAAATATTAAAATGAGCAGAACCATGAACTCCATAAGAGTCATCGGTTCTGCTATTGAGTTCATTCATGACAAATCACTATCACACCACAATAAAACAGCAAATCACTTATTATTTCTTATTAGAATAGTTAGTCATGGATTCGACCCCACACAGAGTGATACAAGTACGTTCATAAATACTATTGCTGACTTTGCACCCTGTGTGTGGCCTATATCGTGTCACTTGAGTAAGCAAATGTAATAGAGTCTGCATGAAAGATGTATTAGAATAAGTTTGCCATTGTCGAAGTACATGAGCTTCTGTACGGACATCTCTTAGTTTTATTTTAGTTTTTAAAAACGCCTCCACCGCTCCCGTTAACTTGACTGGCGCAGCCGGTAGGATCGCCATTTGCTTGCGCCGTCCGCGAAATAAATTCGAATAAAATCGTTTACCGCGTTCGTGCCGCGAGGCGATCCTGCGAACCAATATAAATTTGTCAAGTGGAGAGCAGCTGAAGATGACGAAGGCCGGCTGGTGAGTCCAAATTTTCACCTTCCTTTCCTTGTCATATTATATAGTTTTGTTATTTTGCAATTAGACCTCTTGCGATATAACGTTATCTGGTTTTACATAAAAATCTGTGAAACTTATATTTAAGAATACTTAAACTTAATAACTAACTGCATAAAGAAATACTAGGAACAACTAGATAAGTAAGCGCGTCCATGCAATAACGACGCGATAAGAGCTTGCACTGTGGGAACAAAGCGATTATAACTATTACAAATTATAATTGTAGTGTATGTTCGTTGATTAAATTTTTATTGAGGACTTATTTATTTCATATTTTGTATTTTACTTATTAATTATTTTACTTTTATTTTGACTGTGTTTTTGATTGCGAATTTGAAGTCTTGTATTAATTATATTATTTTATCGCCGTATTTTATAAAATAAAGTTCTACAAAATGGAAGACCAAGTGCAAATTAAGATGATTCCTAGTGAAATGCTCAAAATTGTACCGAAATTCAACGGTGATAAGCACCAATTAAATCTTTTTATTCGCAAATGAGAGTATATATTAAATAAATATAGGGGATCCGATGAACAAAATTTATACGTAATGTACGCGATAACAAGTAGACTCGTAGGTGACGCTGCAGCGCTCTTTAGCGAGCGCGAGGACATTAATTCGTGGGAAGATTTTAGAGAACTGCTAATTCAACATTTTGGAGACCCTAGGAGTGAAGAATGTATTGCTATAGAACTTGAAGGTTTGCGTATCCGAAACAACGAGTCATATTTAGATTTCTGTAATATGATCCAATCCGTTCGTAGTGTTTTAATATCGAAAGTAAATAGATTAACCGATCCAAATGTAAAGAGTAGCAAAATTATTATATATAATAACACATCTTTAAATGTCTTTTTGTATAATTTGCCAGAAAATATGGTGTGAATTGTTCGCTTAAAAGCACCTAGTATACTAGAAGAGGCTTTAAGCGTGGTCATGGAAGAAGTCAACTTCCATGAGCAGTATACCTTACGTAATAAAATGTATAGTAATCCTAGTAATAAACTAACGCCACCCAGTATACCAAATAATAATCCTACGTTTAAATTCGGTACAAATAATTTTAATTCAATGGCACCTATGGGCTATAAACCCGAATTAACCCCTAACAAATTTAACTTTGGACTTCCGCAGGGGTCACAATTAAAACTAACTCAATTTAATAACAATCAACAAAATTTTGGATACCGCCCCCAACAATTCGGCTTCCGCCCGCAACAATTTGGTATAAGCCCGCAACAGTTTAATATGCGCCCACAACAATATGCGTCCCCAACAGTTCGGGATGCAACCACAAACATTTAATAAACCTCAACAATTCGGTATGCGCCCACAACAATTCGGTATGCGCCCACAATAATTTGGAAACCAACAACAAAACTTTTATAAGCCCCAACAATTTGGTTACAAGCCACAGTTAAATAAAAATCAATACACTGGGCCCAGTGACGTCACAATGCGAACGGCACCACCACTTAAAACAAATCAACAAGGCTTTCAGTTAAATGAACTCGACCTTGATAATACGTATTACGATGATGCGTGCGGTGATGTGTACCCACTTTCTTATGATAACTGCTGCTATGAGGAGTACTCAAGCAGTGGCCTTAATGTTCCCGAGCTCGATTATTATGAAAATCAATATCCGACAATAATTCCTGAAGTAACACAAATCGTCCCAACCAATATGGACGACAAGGATTTTCAGGTCGAAGCCTCGGAACTTACGAAAAAATAGAGTTAAATTGTAGTACTAATTTGAGATTGCCGTTTATTTATATACCGGAAATCGACTCCAAATTTATGATTGATACAGGTAGTACGCGATCATTCATTAGTCCATCAAAAGCTTATAAGTACTTTCCAGAGTACATAAGTCACGAACCATTCGAAGTCATTAGCACACATGCATCGAGCAGACATGATCAAGTTATTCAAATCCCGTCTTTACCAATTTTCAACTGTAACGATATTCATAAACTATACATTTACAATGTCGACTCTACGTACGATGGCTTAATTGGGAATGATATACTTTGCAATCTAGAAGCAGTAATAGATTTAAAAAACGAGATTCTTAAAACTAAAACTACCGTAATACCTATAACACATAGTAAATCTTCTTACGTTTTGGAGTTATCTCCCCGTTCTGAGCAAAGAGTCAAACTCCCAACAAATTTATATTCAGGTAATGCTGTAATCGATTATAAAGAATTCCGTAAGGGTGTGCGAATGCCTAGTGCGTTAGTGAGATGTAAGGATGGTTATACGACTACAGTAATCCAGAATACCTTAGATATACCGATAAAATTAACTATTAAAAAACCATTGAATGTAGAAGCATATGAAGAGGGTAAAGCGACTAAATGTGTAGTTAACCATATTACAGATATATCAGATATTGAAATAGATAAAATATTAGAGCAAAATTTAGAGAAATTACGCTTAGACCACATGTCGGAAGAGGAACGAAAATCGATATACCACTTATGTAGAGAATATAAAGATATTTTTTATAGCGATCAAATACCTTTATCTTTTGCTAATGAAGTGAAACACTATATTAGAACAAAAAACGAAGACCCTATCTATATCAAACCCTACAGGCAACCTCCCGCACAAACACAGGAAATTAAAAACCAGGTACAGAAACTATTAAATGATAATGTGATTCAGGAATCCTTTTCCCCTTGGTCAGCCCCAGTCCATTTAGTTCCCAAAAAGAGAGACGCATCTGTTGAAATGAAGTATAGGATGGTTATCGATTACAGACATCTAAACGACATAACTGTGGACGATAAGTAGTAAGAGTAAGTAGGTAGTGCGACAAGTCAAGACGCTTTTACAAACGCTCTGGAGTTTTTAATTATATACTGGTGAATAAGTGCTTGTTTATCTTGAAAAACAGTATCAAAATAAACGTTAAAACGCAAGGAATCTGACTGTTCTTGTGAAAAGTGAAATTGCGGAGGATAAACTGTAATATCGGCATAAAATTGTGTGCGGGTTTAGTAAGAAAATATTTGGACCTTACTACTCGATACACTTGCGTATTGTGTATAGTGCATTCTTCTGAAGTGTATCACTGTTTCGTCCGGGAGCTACTAACACAGATAGCCGATTCGGTAGACGCACGGATTGCACGCATGATAGCAGCTGGTTCAAACCCCGCCCGAAGCAAAACAAAATTTTTTTTTTGGCTTTAATATTTTTATTGCATTTTCTCAAAACTTTTATAATGGATAATCTAACACTATCTTCGGGCTGCTGTTCATTGGATGGTGAGAGTAAACAGTTTAAAAAATGCAATACTTGCGTTAAAGCGTTTCACTTGGAATGCTTGGGAACCTGTCAATCACGTGCAGGCGATGCGACTGGGTGTTGGATATGCCCTACTTGTATAAATTCTAATACGAAAACCATCAACAAAGACAACACGCCTGTGCGTTTTAATCCCAATGTTACAATACGAACACAAAAAAGACAGACATCCAATTCCCCACCGGAAGCAGTGGACTCGGAAGCTCCTATTACCAGGAGTGATCTAAGAGCTATAGTGGAAGACATCACGGAAAGAAAATTTGAGACTCTTCTGGTGCAACTAACAAACACTCTTCGATCTATTATGACCTCTGAACTAGGCACCATGAGGAATGAGATAAAAGATCTGAGAGAGTCCATTACCTTTGTGAGTGATCAGTACGAGGAAATGATCAAGGAAAACAAGAAAACAAGTGAAACCGTCCGAGAATTGCGGTCGGAAAACGAACTGATGAAATCTACCATCAAAGACTTATCATTCAGGCTAAATAACTTTGAATAAAACGCTCGTTCAAATAATATTGAAATACAATGTGTTCCTGAAAAGAAAAAGGAGAACCTTACAAACATAGTATCAAAATTGAGCAATGTTATAGACTTCCCCATCTCTCCGGAGAAAATAGTACACTGCACCAGAATTGCCAAAATCAATCGCGATAATCTCGCTCGCCCTAGATCGATTATTGTGCAGTTCGCCACACCCAGAGACTGTGATTGTTTCCTGGCAGCAGCTATTAAATTCAACAAACCTAGACCGGTATCGGAAAAATTAAATACCACCCACTTGGGTTACAGCGGAGAGAAAAAACCAGTATTTGTCCCTGTCCCCCGGCAACAAGGCACTACACGCAGCTACCAGGCTGGCTGCGAAGAAAAATGGATACAAGCATGTGTGGATACGTCATGGCCGTATTTTTGTAAGGAAAACGGACAACTCAGACTTTATAGTCATAAGAGATATGGACTCTCTAAGTAAAGTTAAATAAGTTAATACTTTGTCATTTTTTTTTCTTTTTTAATTTAAACTCGTAATTTTATTGTATGGTACTTATTGTTAACAAAATAAAATACGATAAATTAAATGTCTACTATCAAAATGTAAGAGGCCTTCGGACTAAAACTCATCGTTCTATCAAAATCTAACAGCGTCTAGCTACGATATTATAATATTAAGTGAAACATGGTTAAATGAAAATATTATTAGTTCTGAGTTATTCGATGATCGTTATAAGGTATTTAGAAGGGACAGAGAGACGTCTGGCTTTCATAACGGAAAGGAAGGGGGTGGAGTTTTAATAGCAGTATCCAAAGAGCTTAACTCGAAAAGGATAACTATGTGGGAAAGCGACTGCGAGGATCTCTGGGTTGCGATTGACACATCTTTTTCAAATACCTGTCAAAGGTTCGTATTTTGCGCCGTTTATTTGCCACCACCAGTCTCGATGCACCTAATAAAGCATTTCGTGGATAATTACAACTCTGTTATTGAGGAAAACCAGTCCCATATTTGTATTGTTGGTTATTTTAATCTGGGAAGCATAGATTGGGAGCAGTTTGGTAAGTCAAGCAATTACTACCATAGTTCTGCGATTTGCCAATATTTATTGGACTTTTGTAATATTAATAACTATAAACAAGTCAATAATATTGTTAATAAAATGGGTAAAATTTTAGACTTAGTTCTTGTAGATCTCCCTATGTGTCAGCTATCCAAGCCATTAGACTTCTTGAGCGTAGTCGATAATCTTCTTCCCCCCTTGGAATTTCAGCTGAGCTTCGAATTCGCCACAATGTTAGCTAACCCTAACAATATAAAACTGAACTTTCGCAAAACTGACTATGAGGCAGTTAATCTAGAGCTTAAAAGTGTCCAATGGCTAGAAATCTTTTCACTAACCAAGAACGTGGATGAAATGATAGATGTGTTTTGTGATAAACTTAACTGCACCATTAAGAAACATGTGCCGGAACAAAGGCAGAAAAAACATAAATATCCCCAATGGTACAGTAATGAGCTTATCAAAAGACTGCGCGAAAAGAATAAGTTTAGAGTTAGATTTAAAAAATACAAAAATCCGCTTGATGAAATTTCCTATCATTTGATGTCAAAACGATGTAAGCAACAAGTTTCGGATTGTTATAAAAACTACCTTAGAAGCACAGAGGCAAAAATAGCTGACAACCCAAAGTACTTTTGGTCTTATATCAAAACCAAAAGAGGTGGTCATGGTATATACCCAACGGCCATGAAAAATGGATCTACCACAAGTTATGAAGGTAAGGGTATCTGTGAAATGTTTGCAAATTATTTTTCGGAGGTATATAGTGATTGCAAACAGCCGTCACTCTATGATAATGCAACTAATAATACTAGTATCAACTCGGATTGTTTAGCACATATTTCAATAAGTCACGATGATATTCTCAAACGTATTAAGGGTCTAGATATATCGAAAGGTGCAGGCTCTGATAGTATTCCACCATACTTCATAGTTAACTGTGCTAATAGTTTATCAGCGACTTTAAGGCTCATTTTAAATGAATCGTTGACAAGTGGAGTATTTCCAAAGCGATGGAAGTCTGCTAAGGTCGTGCCAATTCATAAGTCTGATGATGACCAAGACGTTCGGAACTATAGGCCAATTTCTATCCTGCCTGTTTTTGCTAAGTTGCTAGAAGCAATCATTTGCCCATATATACAAAATCACTTCAAAAAATACACTTCTAGTAAACAGCATGGATTTGTAGCTGGAAGGTCTACTTCTACGAATCTCATGTGCTTTGCTGAAGACCTTATGGAAGCTGTGGATAACAATCGGCAAGTTGACGCCATTTATACGGACTTCAGCAAAGCATTCGACACAGTTCCCCACAACGTGCTCCTCCAAAAATTAGAAATGTATGGCTTCGCTGGACCTATTCTGCATTGGCTAGAATCATATTTAAGCGATAGATCCTTTTATGTGGTAGTCAATGGGTACCAATCTAACTTACACTCTATTTCCTCTGGCGTACCGCAAGGCTCGCATTTGGGCCCAATATTATTTAATAATGATCTAGTAATGATCTGCCTGATCACTTTCTTTATTCTTCACCGCATATGTTTGCTGATGACCTGAAACTGTCTAAAGTCATAAATAATGAGAGCGATATTATGAAGCTTCAAAAGGATTTAGACATCTTGAATTCTTGGTGCGTAAAAAATGGACTTAAATTGAATGCCAAAAAATGTACACACATAAAATTTACTAGAAAACTTAACAAAATTTCATCTTCATATACAATAGCAGGCAACATACTTAAGGAGACAGAAATCATGCGTGATTTAGGCGTCTTATTGGACACAAAACTTACATTCATACCACAAATGGAACAAACGATCGGCAGGGCATCGAGAATGGTGGGTTTTGTTATAAGAAATAGTAAGGAATTCCGAGACATTAAAACTAAAAAAATCCTTTATTGTAGTCTGGTCAGAAGTGTACTGGAGTATGGTAGTGTAATCTGGCGACCGCACTACGCTACTCACTCATTGAGAATAGAACGGGTACAAAAGCGCTTTCTTCGGCATCTGTCATATTCTTCGGGTATGCGAGGCAGGCATATCAGTTACGAGACCCGTCTTAAGAGCTTTAACATGACCAGTTTATCCAAACGAAGAGAGGTTTCTGATTTGTTATTTTTATTTAAATTACTCCACAATATCATAGACTGCTCAGAACTTTTACAAAAGATTAATTTTAGAGTTCCGTTCAGGCCTCCACGAAAACCTATTACACCACTCAGTCCTCCATTACGACGAACTATTTTGGGATCACATTCGCCAATTTGTAGGATGATCAGACTTTTTAACCAAATTAGTGATCTCGTCGACATTAACCATGTTTCATTGGGAAAGTTTCGAAAGGCTGTCTATATGATAGGTACCTCAGATTATAAACATTTGCCTTGTTAAACACTTTTTCCTTTTTTTAATCTTTTTTTTTTTAATTTTTAATTTTTTTTTATATTGTAAATTTTGTAAATCCATACCTTGCCGCTCTGTTTTTGGTCAGATTGTTTTAGTGAATTTTATAATGGTAATACTACAGTGTTTCTATTCAATAAGTATAAATTCGTCTTTTAATTGTCGCGATAAAAGTTATGCATGTGGTGTTTACCTGTAATTGACTGTGTACTTAGTTTTTTTTTTTAACTATATCGCTTGATTTATATGGGAAGATGTTAGTGCATAAGTTGTTGGTAAACCAATTTTAATAAAATAAAATAAAAAATAAAAATAAGTACCCTTTACCCAATATCACTGACATTTTTGACAAACTAGGTAAGAGTACTTACTTCTCAACTTTGGACTTAGCTAGTGGATACCACTAAATTGAGATCAACGAATCAGATAGACAAAAAACGGCATTCAGCACAGAGAACGGACACTATGAATTCCTTCGAATGCCCTTTGGCCTGAAGACAGCCCAAGCCACCTTCCAAAGAGCCATGGATAACATCCTAAGAGGCTTACAAGGAATTCATTGCCTTGTCTATCTTGATGACATAATTATTTTCTCGAGTAGCCTCCAGGAGCATTTACAAAAATTAAGGACAGTTTTTGACAGATTGAGATCGACTAATTTAAAAATACAACTTGAAAAATCAGAATTCTTGAGAAAAGAAGTGCTATACCTAGGGCACGTTATTACTAAAGACGGACTTAAACCAAACGATGAAAGATTCAGGCTGTATTAAGCTACCCGTTACCAAGGACGACAACCGAGATCAAGAGTTTCCTAGGATTGATTGGTTATTACAGACGCTTTGTAAAAGACTTCGCCAAAATCACTCAGCCCCTTACAGCATGCCTAAAGAAAAGAAATAAAATTGTAATAGATCAAAAATATATTGATGCGTTTCAGAAGTGTAAGTAGCTCCTGTCTAATGCACCTTTACTCCAATACCCAGATCCAGACAAACCTTATGTTTTAACTACAGATGCTTCTACTGTTGCTTTAGGTGCGGTCTTATCGCAGGGGACAATAGGATCCGATAAGCCCATTGCCTACGCCAGTAGAACTCTCAGCGACACTGAGACCAGATATAGTACAGTAGAGCGTGAACTACTCGCCATAATATGGGCCGCAAAACATTTTAGACCATACCTTTACGGGCGTAAGTTCACCATATATACCGACCATAGACCACTAGTTTGGCTTTACTCACTTAAAGAACCGAACAGTAAACTGACCCGTTGGCGTTTACGTCTTCAAGAGTACGACTTCGATATTGTATACAAAAACGAAAAACAAAATAGTAATGCGGATGCCCTCTCTCGGATAAAACTAAATGCCATAGACTCTGATGACTCACAATCATTGGAAGTAAACCTGGACCCTAAAGAACAAAAACTGCAAAAATATCTGACAGAAGTAACTGACCAAATTGTGGACTTAACGACTGAAAACAGGGACGACTCTAGGACAATAACTATAACTGACACATCCGCCACTGTAT